TAGTTCTCAAGCTCTAGAGCTTCTTTGCCTGCAACCCAAGAAAGCAACATTTGATATTATTTCAAAGATCACACACATCACCGTCAGTAGATGCATCTTACTGAGACAAAGAGAGATAGAGTAAGAGACTAAGGGAATTTAGTAAAGTGGTCATGAGTAAACTGCTCTTAATTTTGTTGTTAATGCTTACTAAAGATTGACCTTACTTGTTATCTTTTGCATCCCTCTTAACAGTTTTCTCCAGTTCTTCTTCAACATCTTCTTCCTCATCATAGTATCGTTCATTTTCATCTTCGTCACTGCCAATGTCATGGTTGAAATATTCTTATTCTTCATAGAACTAGTCGTTTGTGTCATCATCATCACCATTATCCAGTTTGTCATCTCTGATTAACCTCTCTTGGATATTCTCTCTTATTGCAGTTCCCTAATAACGTTTAAGGCATTTGTTATTTATAATAAAATCCTGCACAGAACATTAGTATAAACTTGATAGTGTGTCACAAAATTCTACTTACCATCTTAAGCCAGTTTTGTTCAGATATATATAGAAATCCAGCGACCATCGATTTGCATTCTCTACCCACTTGCCCAGCCATTTCACAATTTGGATCTGGAAAATTTGGGTTTAAAAATTAGCAAAAGTAGTAAAAATATGCATTCGAAAAATTATAAGAATTGAAATTATAAGTAGTAAAAAGATGCGGAAACTGCAACATAGTTCTTTATAACCTTTTGTTAATCATGATCATTACAACATCTTAAATAAATTATAAAAAATGTAATTAACTGATTTGTAGAACCTTTTGCGGTAGAACCTTTTGCGGAGTTCAAACGCAAAAATTTAATTAAAAACTAAACCTTGCAGAGCTTATGCTTGCTATCCTTTAGAATAGGCAGCTGTCAGTACTTGGTGAGAACGATGGATTTTGGCTTTGCATCCATAACTACAGCTCCCGCGACTGCTGTTTGCATACATACTGTTGACGTTAGCCATGTCTAAAGAATGATGATAATGGGTTGTTTGATGAGAATGATGAGATGATTTATAGAGTACAGATACCTTTTATAGCAACAGTTCCACCGCCTTGCAAGTAAGAAGTCCGCATTTAAGAAAGATTGTGGCGAATGGTTTAAAAGGACGACATTAAGAGCTTGAATCCTTAGCTCTCAAAATCTCTGATATTCTGAAGAAGACGAAACAACGATCTCAAAACCCTAGTTTAAGTTCGGCGGAGATGGAGTTCCTCATCTATCAAGTTTTTTAAAAACGCAGTGTTTCCAAAATGAATAAATCACTAATGTGGCATTACAAAAAGAAAAAAAAAACCATTTTTATATAATAAGATCTTGTTTAGATTGTGTGTATTTTATTAATTTATATTATAAATTTTGTGATTGCAATTATAATTTAAAATTAGATTTTATAGATAATTTTAAAAAATAAATTATTTAGACAGCAACAATTAAAAAAGATTCACAAAAAAATTAAGAGCTCTAATAATTTTATTAACAAAGGCCATTTTTAAAATTAAATTGGAAAATTTGGTTTCGATTTAAAATTAGTGGACATTAAACTTATATCCCCCTATATATTAATAGTGACTTCTTGACACGTGTCGCTCATATAGAGCTTTTCAGGAAAATCTTTTTAATTTTATTGGTTAACTTTTTTTTGAAAAAAAAAAAGCCAAACCTAAAGCAGCTTCTGTTCGGTGATGTCTCTCTATCTTCAAAGTTTCTCTTCGATTTTCTCGGAGTCCATGCCTAAGAAATTTTTTCTAACTTCCTCTTACCTCTCTCTCTCTCTCTCTCTCTCTCTCTCTCTCTCTCTCTCTCCTTCTCTCTTCGATTCTCTCGGATTCCAATGAAGCTCCAAAATGCTGATTCGTGTAATCAATCTGAATCTTCTTTCTCTCAGATTTTGATATGTTGTGAGTCTTCTCCGATCCGATTTTTTGTCGCAGCTCTGGAATCCTAAGATCCGTTGATTTGATTGGAATTTTCTTTCCCGTAGAATCGAGAAGATACCTGATAGTTTTTATGTACTTTTGATACGTTTTGGTAGATCGAAATCGGATTGTTGACGAACTAAGATTTGGATCATCACTTTAAATTATATGTATCTCTGTTATGGTTTTAGAGTACTTGACCCTTGGTTGGCTATCCGCTTGTGACTGGGCAAATAGGTTGGCTATCCGCTTGTGACTTTTCTTCTCTGTCTCGGAGACCCGCATATATTTCATCAGAATTTAAGCTCTCACATGGAGCAATTGTACAAGCTTCTTAGAGTAAGTTTTCCTGGACTCAGAATTTCATTTAAGTAAAAATGCACGAGGCCAATTGTCATGTCGTCACACCCTGATGCAATTGTAGTTATAACAGCGTCTTTTTAAGTAGTTCAGGACCTGTAATTGCATTGGCTTCTTATTAAATCCTGTTCTTGGTGGTATATATATCTTGGTTTCACTCATTATAGTACATATTGCGCATTTTGCAGGATAAGAACCATCGTTACATGGCACTTGATTGTCTTCACCGGGGATGAGATGGATCCTAATGAGCTTTGATACGAGGTATGAAAACATTCTTAGGTTATATGCCTAGGATGAGATGGATCCTGATGAGCTTTGATACGAGGTATGAAAACATTCTTTTGGACCCTCTCATGATTTTCTGAAACGATTTATATTTTAATGTTTGGTTTTGAAAAACAAAATAATTTTAATTACTTGCGCAAGATTATAACATTGATATTGTATGTTAAGAACTTTTCCGTGGGGATAATTACCAATTTCAAAATTATTACATTAAGTAATTTAATTTTCGTGTTTAATAACTTTCCTTATTATTCTCCAAGGAAAACTTATGCATCTTGATATCGTATTTATTACATTGTTTAAGTGAAATTTACCTTAGGGATTCTAATTAGCTTGTTTATTTTAATAACTTACCTTTCTAATATGAATTACTTGTGCAAGTTAAAATCATATCATATGCAAATCAATTTATGAAAATACAACTTTAATATCTTTCTTTAAACGATTTCAATATTAATTATGAATGATATAACGAAAACGTCATTATTATAAGAAGTTATATGTATAGGCAACCCCGAAGGTCTTAAAATACAAACATTCTTCTCTTTTGCGTTCAATTTTAAAAAAGAATGGCATTGGTTCAAGCCTCCAAAAGCGATGTTTCTTGTATTAGAGAATTAAAACCGCTAAATATACGTCGCATATTGAAGTTAGGATTATCCACTTGTGGAGAAACTTTAACAAAGAATCAGGAAACACCATTGAAATGGTTTTTGTTGATAAAGAAGTAAGTAAAGATATTACTACTTTTTTTTCATCTCAGATTTTCTTTTATTTTATAATTACTATAAAATAAACTCAACTTTTTCTTGGGAAAAATAATGTTTCATATCTAATTATATTGCTTTCACCGATCTTTTATCGTTCACTTTGTCAAACAAGTTTTTTAGAATATTCCATAGTGAATGGTACGCAATTTTAGTCTATTTTTATTCGATAGAGATTTTGAATTATTAAATTCTTATTTGTTTTTTTTTCTATTAACAAATAGAATAGCACAGACGAAAGACGGGTTGTAGTTGACTACAAACCAGTTTTAAGACTTTCGATGACAGTATATCAATTTAATATAGTTTTGGTCTCAAAAAAATTTAGAAATCTATTAGGATATTCGATATCGTACGATTGCTTACAAAATTAAATAATTTTGTGCAGGTTTCTGATTGGAATTTTTTTAATCGAGAATTGTACTTCTTATTTTATATTACTTATGGATTATAATTTAATTTTACCATATTTTCTTTTAATATGCCCCTGTTTTAAAAGTTTTTTTAAAAAAACATAAATTTTCGAATTAAATAGAAAATATAAAATTACAGAATTTATACAACACAATTTCACTTAGTGATAATATAAAGGCAAGCTTCTCATATGGGGTTTGGTGTTTCTTTACATAGACAGTGGAAGAAGCATCTTTCACTTCTTCTTCCTGGCCGATCTCACCTGCAAGCTGAAGGCGAGAAGTAGCAAAGTGACGCATACCAAGATGAAGTAGCAAAGTGGCGTATACCAAGATGAAGGCGAGCTGCAATTGCTTGAAGTACAAGGAAACGACTAAGAACACTAAGAATGATAAGATGACGACCTCCCAGATGACAAAGACTACAACATCCACATCAAACCCAAATAGCAGCTTTATTAATAATATGTACCTTGGTAAGTAAAAACCTCAAAACAGCTTATGATACAATCATAATTGTAAAAGATACAAATGGGATTGAAAAAAATCGAAACAGAAATACAAATTTATTGAAGATTCAATGGGTAGATTTTATAGGTTTCCTTGCAAGATCACTGCTTATAATCGCAACATCTCGTGAAAAAAAATCGGAAACTAAGCTAAAACCATAAACAGTGGTTCATAGAACCAACAAGTCACCTCCATATCTTTGGACCATCAAGCTGGTTCTGATCAACAGCAGCTCATGAGACGATATCAACTCCGTTCATAACACTCTGAAAAACTCAGACTTATACATGTTACCTAAAAACTTAGAAGATCCTGCAATATTTGGAGATCAATGAGTTCACTATTAAAGATCTGTTTCCATCAAAATCCAACTCAACCGATATCATAGTATTTTTTCATGCCCGCACAGAGTGCGGACCAGTCATCTAGTTAAAATTTATATAAGAGTAAAATTACGGTGTTTTAGCTGTAATGACATTCTATTGTAATTTTGAAGAAAATTAAGGCATATTTTTTTTGTACTTCTCCTTCAATAGTTTAGATGATATCCACAACTTTGGGAATGATACACACAATTGTCATATATAAAGAGAAGAAGCAAAAATTTCAACGAGGAGTGAGTATAGAATAAGAAACAGAGTTGTATCGAGAATGGCCCGGTTCGGATCCATAGGTTAAAGGGTCTAGATTGGAACTGTTCCTAAGGAAACATCCAGGTGCTCGAGGCATAGGTAAAACAGTGGAGCTATTAGTAAGCATTTGAAATATTGTTGACATCTCTGGACGGTGTGCAGGAGTCTCTTGAACACATAGTAGTCCTATATGAATGGATCTAGTGACTTCATCCTTCTCATAGCTATCCCTAATCGCAGGGTCGATGAGGTCTAATGGTGATTCACTGTTCCAAAGCCTCCAAACCTGCTGAAACAACTCACATTCAGGAGATGATCACAATTAAAATAAATTAAGATTTTGACTTGATTGATTTTTTCTTACATGTGTCACCATATTTCCACCAGAATCATCAGTCTGATAGAAGCTACTGTTCTTCTTGCCACAAACAATCTCCAGAATCAATACTCCAAAGCTATAGACATCAGATTTAGTAGAGAAATGGCCACACGTCACATACTCTGGAGGCATGTAACCACTGCAAATATACACAAACAATATTAATAATAAGAAACCAAAGGATTCATCAAAAAATTGTGAGGTTTATCAAACAGTAAGGATAATAATAGAATACTAACAAGGTTCCAACAACTCTTCCTGTGGTGTCTTCAGTTTGGTCCACTCTAAAATTCCTTGCCATTCCGAAATCTGCTATTTTAGGATTCATATCGGAATCAAGAAGAATATTACTCGCTTTGATGTCGCGGTGTATGATAGTGAGCCTTGAGTCGTGATGAAGATAGAGAAGCCCTCTCGTAATCCCTCCGATGATGTTGTACCGTCTTCTCCAGTCTAGCTGACTCTTCTTTGTTGGGTCTGCATTAGAATAACACTTTGAGAGAATTTACTAAAACGAATATAAACTAAACCTATATATTATTTATTTGTTATTACCAAAGAGGAAATAATCAAGGCTCTTGTTTGGAACAAACTCATAGACAAGTATTCGTTCATCTCTTTCTAAGCAAAACCCATGAAGCCTAACAAGATTCTTGTGTTGAAGCTTAGCCACAATCACAACCTCGTTCTTGAACTCTTGTGTGCCTTGTCCTGAATTTTTTGATAGCCGTTTTACTGCAATCTCGATTTCATTTGGTAGCATTCCCTACAAATGTGCATATGAATAGCTTCTTAATGTTAGCCTTCACGACAATTTAGCAGTCATAGATACAAGTAGAGCTCATATATATACCTTATAAACTTCACCGAATCCGCCTTGGCCAAGCTTGTTGTTCCTCGAAAATTTATCTGTTGCCACTTCAATTGTCGCAAAATCATATTGTAGGGACTGTGGACTAGTCATGTCATCATCAGCTGTCACAACAAAGATATGACGGTTACTATTATGCAATCCAAATAGGTAAAAATATAAACTTAAAAAGGTAACTCACTTTGAAGTTTTAACTTCTTGTGCAATCTCTTCCAAATAACTAATCCAAAACCAAGCAGCACCACAAATATAACTGCGGAAACAACAATGGCCACAATAGCTCTTGTAGCAATCTTTTTTCCATCTGAAGGAGGAGGAGGAGGGGGAGAAGGAAGAGTAGGAGGCGGCGGAGCAGGTTTGGAATGCGTGTCATTAAAAGCATCAAAGGCACCAAGGTATGCATAACCATCCCACTGGAAAAAGCAGACCGGCTTTCCAACGCTTCCACCTATGTACCCATTGCAGCATCTTTGGTGTGCACGTACATTTTCTTGAAGACAAGCTTCACATTCCTTAGAAGATATACCCGGAATACACTGCATCAGTGCGTAAACATTATCATCAAGTCTCTCACCTATCCGAGGGGATACATCAGACAGGTATCGAGATGGAGATTGACCGACGCGGGTGATCATAGATTCCATGAATGAGTTCCATACTCTAGTATAAGTTGTAACGTTTCCTGTGTACATTCCACTATCGTACTCTGCTTGTGTTGGCTCAAGATCGCTCCGGTTGAAAAACGATACGTTGGAGTAACGAACGAAACAGAGAGTCTTGTCGGCTCTCCAGTCCCATGAGTCGGTCTGGTTCGGACAGCTTTCTAGCAAACCATCGGATGCGGTTTGGATACAATCAGAACAGACCTTTGGATCAGTCCCTGGGATACAGAGGCCTAAGGCATAGATCTTTCCAGGGCCTTCACCAACCGAGACGTTGTAGTAGCCATTTCGAGAACTGACTTGGGATGCAAGAGTTGGGAGAACGAGGCGACGGTTTGTATCGTAAGCACTGTTTGGTCTGAAAAACAGAGAGTTCCCACATCTTTGTGCAGACACAAAGCTACAGCTAACGGCTAGCACAAAACATATAATTATTGACAAGAGATTGTTTGGACACATTTTAAAAAAGGTTTTGATGATTTTGCTTAGATCAAATCATATCTTTGAGCTAAATAAGACGTTTTCACTACAGTAGCGTTGATTTTGGTCAAACTAGCTTGCATGTTTAGAATTGTCGTCAAGTCAATATTGGCAAACATTTGGAAATATTTTATTAAGGATGAAAGTAATCATGCTCCAATTATCATCAGTTCTCCACGACCAGCAGCCCTTCAATAAAGTCTTTAAAGCGACGTTGGAACGTCATAAGGAATGCCAATTATTATTACGTAAATCAACTTTATAACAGAAGATTCGAAATAATTTTGTGAAAATGAACTTTGTCAACTTTATACATTAGACAATTATTAAGAATTTTATGAAACGAAATTAGGTAAGCTAAAGTCAAATTAACAAGACTTGTGATTATTGCACATGGGACTCAGCATTAAATTTAATTAAATTTTACTTTCACTATGTAATATGCATAGAGTTTGAAAACTAGAGTTACTGTGCTACAAGGGAAAAAGGTGTGGAGTGGTTCTAAACTTGTTGGGTTTATCCTAAACAGTGCAGTATAACAAGAATTTCAACGAGAGGTGAGTGTAGTGATCGTTGCGTTGTCAATAGAATAAAGAACGGACTTGCTACTACTAGATTGGCCCGGCTCGGATCCATATAGGTTAAAGGGTCCAATTGGGTTGGTTCCTGAAGAAAAATCAAGGTGGTTGAGACACAGGTTGAACAATAGAGCTACTGGTAAACATCTGAAAGATTGACATGGCTGGTAGAATTTTCTTGATAGCATAAAGTCCGATATTGATGCATGATGCAACTATGTTAACATGAGTTTAGACTGATTTCTCCACTACCACCCGCAAACGTAGCTTTTGTGGTTGGTAGCGATTATTGACGTTCTGCAACAATCACTCAAACCGTTCTGAACCGCTTTAAACTGTTCTAAACCTCTTAAATTCAAAAGTTGGTTCTAACTAGCGTTTTCAATTGCGAGCGGTTGCAGGATGGTGATTTTTTTTTCTTTTAAAAAAATAAAAATGATATAAATACAAAAATAAAAAATATTTAATATTTTTGAAAAATTGGAATTATAAAAATACTAAAAGATATCTATTATATTTAAATTAATATTATTAAAAATTAAAAAAATATATTCAATAATTTTAAAAAATAAAACTATAACTTTATAAGTATAATTTCTACGTTGACACTCACATAATCGACCATGTGGAAAGAGGCACAAGTTAAGGCAGTTCAGAGTGATCCTCAACAACTGTCAGAGGACACTTTACCAGTTATATCGGGAAGATGGTGTTTTGTAGATGGCTCATGGAAAGCAAATGATCAGTTTGATGGACAAGGTTGGTATAGCACGCTTGAAGGGTATGTAGATTTAATGGGTGCAAGAAATGTTAGGGCCAATATGTCTCCACTTCATGCAGAGGTGGAGGCACTTATTTGGGCAATGGAGAGTATACGAAACTTAAGACAATATCATGTTACATTTGCAATGGACTGTTCTCAATTGGTGAAGATGGTTTCGGAACCAGAACAAAGGCCAGCGTTTGCAAGTTATCTTCACGTTATCAAGACGCTTCAAGAGAGTTTCAACAGCTCGACAATAATTCATGTCAAACGAACACTGAACTCGCGGGCGGATGGCCTAGCACGAAGTGCCAGGATGCAACCGTTTTTCGTCATTCACATGGATGCAGAGTTACCGGTTTGGTTCACAGAGTTTATATGAGTCTGTAGGTTGTTGTCAAAAAAATAAAAAATAAAAAATAAGTATAATTTCTATATTTATTATAATATTATGATTTTTGGTATTTTTTTATAATTATAAAAATGTAAATATTGTTAATGGAGGTTTAAAATGTGGGTTTAAAGTGTGTCTTTTCATGTAGAAAAGACAATCCAATTATTCATTAATTTTCTCCACTATTTTTATTTACCTCCAAGTTTTGGAAACCAATTTTAATCGTACTTTTGTTTCTAAGACTAATCAAAAAAAAATGTTTGAACAAAAACAAAGACTTTCCAAAAGATAAAATAAATGGATTTATAAACTGGAATTTCTAATATCATCAACACAAATACCATCCAAAATACACGACCTATGGTAGTTTTTCTGTTTGCACGCTTCAAATGCTTACACTTATTTCCTTAGGTGAACATCATCTTTTATTTTATTTTTCTTTTCCAAAAAATTATGATATCAAGTCAGTTGTATGAATATCATCCATATATCAATCTTTTAGTGTAATAATTTTCAGTCGGCAAAAAACACCTAAATGTTAATAAAAATGTTAAAGATTAAGTTATTATTTCAAAATTTGGAAATATATATATTTGAAGATTGATATATATATATATGAATATCAAAACCCTAGATGGTCCACTTGATTTTTTACCACACACATCAAAGTTAGTCATATGTTTATGTACAAATGATTGGATTTTGTGGATGTCGTCCTATCCAATGTGTACTTGTAATTTCGTTTGTTCAAGTATCTTACTTGTTTTTTTATTTTATACTGAAATTAATTCTAGTGTATCTCAAATTATTTTTTTCCATTTCATTTGAGCTTTAATCATCTTAATATTTACAATTGTATATAGTTGTTTAGCTTTGTGGCTCATGTATTGGTAAATTTTCTTAGTTATTAGGTCATATGGATTTAGTTCAAGGGTCTATATTAATGGTATGGTGTTTCATGGTCTATATTAAGGGTCATATGTGTGGAACCAAACAATATTCGACCTAAATAAGAAGACTTCCTAGCGCTTGTTGATTTCATGGCCTCCAAGATATAAACCTCGAATAAAACAACTTGAAAGGATAAACTTGAAAATTTCATTTTTGATATTTCAGATCTACGTGATGATTAATCGCTTGAAAAAATATTTGCCAAAATTTGTTTAATTTAGAACCATATAATACCTTTTTAGGAGAAATTCTTGAGTTCACCCTTTAGGATGAACATCTAGGTTCATCAACCAATAGAATTTCATTATTTCATATTCAGTGTCTTTTTAAAAAAAAATATTACCGAGTTATATTATGTTTTTATTTTTAAAAAAAAAATATTACCGAGTTATATTATGTTTTTAAAATTAAAAGATAAAAAATAATAATAGTTGTAAACAATTTTTTAAATAAATATATTTTAATACCGTCAGCAAAACACTAAACCTTTAACCCTAAACCCTTGGGTAAATCCTCAACCCTTGGATTAATCTTAAATCCTATAATTTATGATTAGTCCAAGGGTTTAGAATTTACCCAAGGGTTTAGGGTTTAGAGTTTAATGTTTTGCTGACGGTTTTAATACTATTTTTCTAAAAGTCAAGGATTTATCCAAAGGTTTAGGGTTTACAGAAGGGTTTTAAGATTTAGGATTTAGGGTTTACTGTTTTGATAATAGTATTAAAAAAATTAATTATTAATTTTTTTGTAATTTTTTTTTTTTATCTTTAAATTTTAAAAACACAATATAACTCGGACTATATTTTGTTTCCTTTTCAAAAGATATTGAATATAAAATAATTTAGAGATTCACACTAGAAGGTGAACTCAATAATTATTCCCTTTTTAGTATTTAGCATTTCTGAAGACAATATTTGACTTGCTTCATGTCATTAAACATCAACTATTTTTCTCTCAATCTTATGTTGTATCTCATGGAAGGTTGATATCCCTAACATAAAACAAATTAGTAGTCGAAAAACAACTTGTTAAGATAAACTCATGTTTAATGATATGTGATAAATGATATAAACTCTCAAAGACTGCTAAAAATAATCTGTCAGGACTTGATTGACAGTTGATTGACAGAACATTAACATAAACATTATACTCATTATTATCTAATCAAAATTTATCAGAAAAGCATTTAAGAACATTTACAAAATGTTAATGTTCCTTAAATGCTATTTGCTCAATTTTTTTTTCATATGAAACTTTTGGTTGAGCATTTACCGTTAGAATATATAAAAATAGTTATATATAAGTAATTAATTTCTATTTAATATATAAAAATATTTTTATAATATTTTTAAAATAAAAGTTGCCTTTAAATATTCTATTACTTTTTAAGAGAGAAATATTTCATATTTAAAATATAATATAATTTAAATAATGACAAAAACCATTCATTATTTTTAATAACAAAACATAACATAATATGTATTATATATTATAAATATAAAAATAGCTATATTATTTAGAAATAAATAAATTCTACATATAAATTTGATGATAATTTTATATATGAATCATTTAATGCTCTACCAATAAATAAATAATGACGATTTATATATAAATTATATATAATTTATTTATTTTATTTAATAATATCAAAGTTATGTTTTTTATCAAATAATAAATTTTAAATTTATTTTTAAATAATAATATTTCACATTTATTTTTAAGTAATAATATTTCACATGTATAACTTAATTTTATATAATTAAATAAGTTTCATTACTTTGAATAACAAGTATAGAATGTGTCATATTTCCGTAGACATTTGGTGCTATATGATACTTTTCGTGGGAAAATAGATTGTCGTCCCTAATTTTAAAGTTGTATATTTCTACTGTTCTGCCAATCGCTTTATTAAAAACTTTAATGAAAGCATATAATTTATGCAGCATCAATACCATTAAAACATGATCATTCCCTTTAATGAAATTTTTATGTTTTCCAAAAAATACTCTTAATATTATGAACAAATTTAATATTTCATTAATGGCAATTTGGTCATTTTATTTTGGGCCTAAAAACTATATACTAATGGGTTTTATTAATGGTCCAAATTTACCTTCTAATTATTAGTCCGCTGGTTCTGCCACATTCGACCCGCCACAGAACGGGTCAATGGATATTTGAAAAAACTAAGCTGCGGGTGCGGGTGCAGGTCAAATATATTTTACGCGGGAAAGATGCAGATTATTCTAATTTCAGTTGTGGTATCCGTTAATCTGCAAAAATAGAATTT